CTTATTTGTTTTTTAAATTGAAATATTTAAGTTAAAAAAAAAAACAAAAAAACTTTTAATTGAAAATTTTGTACTCTTCAATTTTAAAAATCTCAATATTTGTTTTTATTTATCCTTCAGTTGGTAAAATAGAAAAATACACCAAAAAACCATTCTCATTCTTTCATTCTTTCGGGGGAATAGAAACAAAGCACTTAAAAAAAAATATATATAATTATTTGTTAATCATAAAAACAATTTTAATACCTATACATAATTAAAGTGCTCGATAAGACCAATATTTTGATGTATTGAAAGTCTCTAAAGCCCAAGTAGAAAAGTCGTTGTGATTCTTAATAAAGTTCAAAAGTGTTTCTATTCACCACGTTTTACTCCATTATCCTATAATTATTATACAACTAGCATTTTTAATGCTAGTTGTTTAATTGATTTTCTTATATCGCAATAATTTTTGATAAAATGATAATATTATAATAGGTGCTGATGCACAGAGTAATAAGCAAAGTGTTATACTCGTATCATAAGACAAACCACAAACATTTTAATATTTGAATTTACTTATATACATTATACAACACTAATTATATATTTGTATGCGGATGTACTGGAGCTACTGGAGTTGTAAATACCAAGGCTGGGCAAGTTAACTATTTTTTTAACTCGTTAAGTTAAGTTAATATAGAAAAATGTAAGTTAAGTTTAAAGTTAAAAGTTAACTTCATTTTTTTTTTAACTTGTAAAAGTTACAAGTTAATTAGAAAATAAAAGTAACTTAACTTAGTTAAAAATAAGTTACTTTTTTTTAAAATAAAATTAACAATTATACCTACCTACCTTTTTTAATGCTAACAAATAACATAATAATTCAATAAATCAAAAAATGTCTTACAATATTTGAATAAATGTTTGTAATAAAATTAGTTACTGTAGGTACTTATATTAATTTTGTGTATTATACTTTAATTAGGTAAATAGTAAATACCACGCTACTACGGGTATTATTTACATCGACGAGCCAAGTTATCACCGTAATTCTATGAATGAATAAAAATATAATTAAGTAATAATATTAATAATGATTAGGTATAGGTTAGGTGATATGTCGTGTATGGGATAGGTACTGAGTAAATTGTTATATTTTTCTTTGACATGGTTAGAGTCATCTCTATGATATTTCCCTCTAAAAATATAGTTATAAAATATTTTCTGTGAATATGCAATATAAAAACTTACTATTATTATTATAAATTATTATTTAATAAAATATATTTAATATTTCGGGTTTTTTTTTATGTAATTAATTTTACAAAATTGAATTAATTTTAAATAATATGTGGGTTGGGAAAAAATTAACTTAACGTGCCAATAAAATTAATTAACTCGTTAAGTTCCTGAATAACATGGGGAAAAATGTAAATCGTTAAGTTAGAAGTTACTTCTAAAAAAAAAGTAACTCGTTAATTAACTTAGTTAAAAGTAACTTAACTTTTTAACTTAACTTTAACTTATTAACTCGTTAATGCCCAGCCTTGGTAAATACTACATCATTCCTGAGTCATTCCCGACTCAGTGTCTGCATTCAAATTTATAATAAATAAATAAATTATAAGCTTTTGTCGTAATTACCTATATTAAATGTTATAGGTATCAGAGCATAGATAAAAAAGTAAGAGCATGTCATATAGTGTCATAGTCCATAGACCTTCAATATTTAGATTATATTATAATAACAGTCGAAATCAAGGGCAAACGCAGGAAAAAATTTAGGGGGGTTTTGAAAAAGTTAAAAGTAAGTATTCATAAATATCCTATCATTCAGATAATTTATTTTTTGTACCAGCCATTTCTATTTTTTATCACCTGCGTTCTCCCCTGGTCGAAATATATTATATTATATTACATATTAATATATTATATAGTGTTATTTATTATTAGTAATGGAAAATATTATATACTATTCAGTCTTGTAAAGAATACTTTTATTTTGTATTCGTAATACATATTCGAATAAATGAGAACTAAGGTATTCAGAATACGTATTCGAATAGTTCTTAAAAAATATATTCGAATACTTTGAAAAGTACCGAATTAGTATTCAAATTCTATGAGAATACTTTTTTTCACAGCTAGTTTTTGTCAGTTTTTGAATGGTTGGTAATTAACAATTATTAATTAATAATTAAAAATACATCGTAATCATAAGTTATTTATGAATTTTTGCCACATATGATACGGCCGATATACGGACCATAAGGAATACTACAGTGTTGTAAAAAATACTTTTTAAAAGTATTTAAGTAATTACTCAAATACTCTTAAAATAAAGTATTTAAAATACCACCCAAATACTATAAATAGTAAAGTATTTGAGTAATACTCAAATACTTTTCAGAAGTATTGAAAATAATCTTCAAATACAAAAAAAAAATTCTTTTTACTTTTTAGTTCTGAAATAATTTGTTATAATCAAAAATGTGTTTATTGCATTTTAAAAACATGATTCGTTCAATAATCAAAATTCTGATTAGTCATGTTAGTTGCACTACAACAATGAACTTTTCTCAACAGAGTTATTATATTAATTTAAAGCTATATTATGTATTTGGATATCTCATACCGTCATCGATAAACAATAATGAAAATAATTGATAAAAATTTTCTTGATAAATAGGTAGCCACTAGCCAGTAGGTACTAATAATTATTAATATTATTTTCGTATAGTTAAATAATTATAAACTATAAAATATAATAGCCGTTAAGTAGAAGCTTTTTACATATATATTTTGATAACTTAAGCTAAAAGTGATACCGACTACAGATGTATCTTTTCGATCATCGTCGACAATAAGCTGTCTCCTAGAGAATAAAAAAAATTAAATAAAAGTATTCAATAAAATAGTATTAAATAGTAAAAAAAAGTATTTAAAATACCATTCAAATACTTCAAAATAAAAAGTATTTAAAAAAGTATTCAATACCGAAAAAATTATTTGAATACTTTTACTCAATTACTTTTACTCAAATACTATACAACACTGGGAATACAACACATTGGTGTTCATAAAAATAATCATATCATGGGCCAATATTACCAATATTTCGTTCAAAGAATAAAATTAATGTTCATGATGTTCATGAGAAAACTATGTTTCTGGATCGGAAAAAAGTATTTTTTTAATGAATAAAAAATACAAATAAAAGTATTCAGAATACGTATTTGAATACTTTAAAAAAAAATTATTTAAAATAGTATTCGGATACAAAAAAAGTATTAAAATACTTTTATTCGAATACTTTGCAAGACTGACTATATAGATTATTAATCTATAGTATTTGGTAATAGTAAAACAGCGTACTCACGTGGTCCCGCTGGAACTGAGGCCTTGCTCCGTCTATTAGGACGTCCACGATGTAGAGAATAATATTGTTAGAGGACGTCTATCATAGTCATAGATATTAAAGATTATATTTTAATATCTATGATCATAGTAGAACATAATAATTGTGTTCTATGCGGAGCATGTAAAAATTGCCGCCAATAGTGCGTAGATAACCACGGTTAGTGCGTAGGGACACAATATACCACGAACTAGATCCTGGTTTGTTGTGTACGCTCTATAGATTGGAGTCGGCGTTTTAATACGTTATTATATTATTTACGTTTTACCTGATATATTTTATTCACTTGTGAACTTCCGACGTGTCAATGTGTCGTTCGTGTTCCCACGCTGTTACGTTGTACATCATTTTTCTTTGTCTCTTTGCTTGTTCGATTCTCTAGACTTAAACGGTTCATGGACGACTGGGACCGTAGTCTGTTCTGTGTGTGTCTGCCATTGGAATACGAATACCTTTAAACCATTCTGCGCGAAGTTTTGACGACATCTGTGGATCGATCACCACCCCGTCGGTGTCGAATTATAGTGAGTACCTACCTATAAGTACCTTGTGCTAGAACAGTGTTTCTCGGCCTGGGGGTCGCCAACTTCTTATTATTTAGGGTCGCGTATGAATTAAAATTTAAATCAATACGAAAAATAAAAATCTCGAGTAATAAAATAAAGTAGGTAAAAAAAAAAAAAAAAATAAAATCAATACCTAGACATTACAATATTACGTGATACGAGTATAATACATGTCACTATTATTATTTAAAACGGAAAACATACCTATTATTATTATTTTTATAGCAAACGTCGAATATAGAATATAAAATATATTCAAAATAGATATATGTCGTCGCTAAAAAATTTAAATTCAAAAAGGGGGTCGCCACTGTAAAATGGTTGAGAAACACTGTGTTGGAAGACATGGCTAAATACACTGTTATAATCTAAACTTGGACGAAATATCGTCCCCGCATGCATGTTTTATAAAAATAAAATAACCTATCTGCGTTTTGTGATGGGGACAATACCAACAAGCAGACGACGTAGCAAAGATGCGCAGAACCGAGTTGATAAACCATCGGTGTGTTAAGCCGTGTTAGAGAATCTCATATGTATAGGCTCTCTAGAGTGTGGCTGTACTTTATATTATTGTGTTTTTGCCACGACTGGAGACAACTATTTACCGTATTTTTAACTAAATATTATTATCTATCAGATATATTGAGTAACCATGAGCGTTCAAGTGACTAAGTTGCCATCGTAAGTCTTTTTGTTTTATATAATTCCTGTTTAGAAACGAACGACTAGCCTATAAAGCGCCTAACACTGTTCGCTATATTGACATTAACATCATCGTATTATATTTTGTATGTTTTTTTATAAACACTCCCTCCAAAATAGAAAAAGGAATTTTTAAAAACACAATAATACAACGCACAAATGCTGTTATTAACTAGATATGTAAATATACTTATATTATATTCATCCTAATGTACCTACTTATTACATTATATATTTTATTCTTGCAGTTGATTGACAACAGTCTGGTCATAGGTTTATGTGGATCTTGTCTTAGTTTGAAAAATTACATCTATACAATATTTTAAACTATGAGTTCATTATCATTTGTAAGTAATATATTAATCATTTAACTATATAATTATATGGGATGTTTATGGGACATTTGTACGAACTATGATTTCATGTTAATCAGGAAAATCATATTTTTCAATTTGATATTTATAAAGGCTCTAATTACTGAATTTATAAGTCTTTACGCTAAGGCATTTTAATGATAAATAGATTCATCTTGTATATTTATATCCTTCATAACTCCTATTATATTATATTATATTAATTATTGGGACTTTCAGACGCTGGGATGACATTCTATATTAAGAATCTCATAAATCGTTAGTTGAAATGGGAGACACGGGGACTAAAAATTGTTGTGGTATATTTGTTATTGCTAATATTTTACATAATGTTTTCAATTAAGAGGACACTACACCTTTATTTATTGTCTTCTATTAAAAGCACATAACAGCAGATTAATTAAGCCAAATATGAGCTCCCGGGTGAGCTCCTGAATATTATTTTGCCATTCAATTTACATTTATGGCAAATTATTTGTGTGTGGTCCTATTAAAGGAGACAGTTGTCTGAAATTCCACATTTGTAAAGCATAATCATAAAGATAATTTATTTTTAAAATTTTTGATGCAACTGTTAAACTCTTGAATAATTCTAAATATAATTATTAAAGTATATATATTTATATTAAATGTATTAATCAATTAATAATTATTTTAATACTTACAGGATATATTTTGTTCAAAACTTTCAGACTGTGAAGCACCGATATCAGTTATTACAGAAATCTTATCAAAAAATGACCCTTTAAAGTAAATAATTTACAATTATTATTAATATTACCATGTATGGGTAAAGATCTCAAATGTAATTTGTTTGCATATTTAATAATGAATTGTTTATTTTTTTTTTAAGTTTTCAAAATATCTCCAATGAATTTAGCAAATTAGGATTTACCAAAGTGAAGGATTTAGCTAGAGCAACCCTTGGAAAAGCCAGCCTTATGAAATTGCCAGGAGATACTCTAACGCTGCTTTATGGAGCTATAGAGGTATAAACTAATAACATTCAACATTTTTAGATTATATTTGATATTTATATAATTATGTGTATATTTTTTTTTAGATATATAGTGAACGCCTGGGTAAGTTATTATTATCAGTATTATCTACTACTATATATTACTTGCATAAATAATTACACATTTGTTCCATTATAAAAATATTCTGTATTTTAAGTTATTTATGCGCATGCAAAATATCTTTTTTTTTTTAGTTGAACTAGTTATTGTCAATGAATACATTTTAGCTTGGTCAAAATAATTAAAATTTGATACAAAGTTCCTCATAAGTTTTTATTTGTGTATTTAAAAAAAGTCTAGCATACATTTTTTATGAGTGCCTCAAGTTCAAATTTTTACATTATTGGATATTCATTATTTACCCGTAACGAATCTCCTCAATCGATATTTATTATTTTGTTGTAATTTATAAATGAATAACCTTAGGTATTTTTTTCACCAGTCATTCATGGATCTAGGACATTTTGGCGTAAAGCCATTTTGACATTTCTTTTTATTTTATTAAAATTATTATTTATTTAATTTAAAAAAAAAACTGATAATCTTCGAGTAATGTTAGTGTTTTTTTTTTAATAAAAGTAAATAAATATATAATTATATAATAAATTATAATATTATAATTACTATATTGATGAATAGAAGGCAAAGAGTGTAAGCTGCATTTTTTTTCAAAATCAATGTTTTTGCATAATATTATCTTAAACTGCAAGATTTTAATATATCAATTAATCCAATCTAAACATCAATATCATTAATTAATATTCAAAAACCCAAGGCTAGGTTAATCCAAGGTATTAACGAGTTAATAAGTTAGAAGATGAGTTAAAAGTTAAGTTAATTTTAACTTACTAACTTAACTTACTAGTTCGGTGTTTTAATCAACTTAACTTTAACTTAACTCATTTGCATCTACATTAATTTAAAATCAACTCATATTTTTCTTTATTTTCCTAATTAAGTTAATTTTAAATATTCCTATTATCCAGAAAAATATTTTGTTTATCACGGATTTTTGGTTTATAATAATTATTATATAAGTTCGTGGAATATAGAAAATATTATCAGAAAAAAAATAAGATATATTTACAAAGAACTTTTTATTTATGTTTAAAGACATAAAATAATATATTGTTACAATAAGTTACGAATATATAATAATACAAGCATAACATTAGTCGCCCTTATGAAGACACCGATACCATAAATTATATCCATAAATCATAATACCTATTCATTACTCATTAGTTTTTAATTATATTTTATTAGTAAAATAATGATTATCATAGATTGTTTATTGGTAATATACCTATAAATGAAGATTACTATTCAAGCGATTATCACTTATTATGTTATTAAATAATAATTCATAAATGCATTTTTTTTTTTTTAATATTAACTTGACTTATTAATTGAAGTTAAGTTAAGTTAACAGTATTTGTGAACTTAATTTAAGCTTAATTGATGTATTAAGGGGACGTTACAGTGACATTTGTTGTCTTCGTCTTACAAGTGCGTAACATAGCAAATTTTATGCTCAGCAGACCACGTTTATCTCTGTTAGTTTAAAAAGTAGAGCGAATTGACCTCTTATACAATTTAAAGATAAGATTGTTATCTAGACAATGACATAGGCTTTTTATGATATTTTTATTTTAAAGCGAGTTATGAGTATTTTAAGATGTACAAACAGCTTACATCACTGTCTAGATAATAGTCTTACCTTTAAATTTTATAAGAGGTAAATTCGCTCTAATTTTTAAACCAACTGCTGAGCGTAAAAGTTGCTGTTACACTCTTGTAAGATGGAGACAACAAATGTCACTGTAACGTTGCTTTAAAAATGTCTTTTGACTTACCTTTTAATTTAATTGAAAAAAAAATATTTAACTTAACTTAACTGAGTTAAAAAATATCATTAACTTGCCCTTGCAAAAATCAATGTTTTAACATGTGGTCGTAAACGGAATAGAGTAAATTGGAAGGAATGAAAAAATTGGATGTAAATGTCAATTAAAAAACATAAACGGCATTTAAGGAAATTTGACAAAACGTAAGCATCATTGTTGGCGGTTACATCAATTTATCATTTTAAATTGCTATAACATATTATTACTTAAAAAGAAATAAGTGATTCCAATACATATTTATAAATTTAATGAACCTTAAAAACTGAAGAATAACCATGGTAATATGGATAGACAGACGTACATTATATTTTTATATACATAGATTTCCGATGGAATTTTTGTAATGTTTGCCATGGTAATATGGACACACACACAGCCGGAAGTCTCTAAATAATATATAAATGGTTGCTATGGTAATATGGACACATGGACAGACATACATTCATTTTTATATATATAGATTAATTTTTTAAGACATTTAGATTAATTTTATGCTATTGCCTATTTATACTTCAAACCTATTTACAACCTTCGATGATTACCAAATGTAATGACTCTTAAGTAAATTATAGTAATATAATATGAAAAAAAATATTATACTATTGTAATAAATATATATCAAAAATAATATAAATGCAATGTTTTTGGAAAAAATGTATTACATATTATTGTAAAATAAATTATTATTATATCAGTTTACCTACTTGCATCATTAAATATACCTACTTAGCAAACATCTTTTCTCATAATCGTTTTTTCGTTTGCAATAATTCATCTTGTCTCATTGTGTTCTTACTTATAAGTTTATCGTTTTATACTAATTTATAGTTTTTCTGTAAAATTATATATTATATATTCATTAACTTCAAATTTATTATTATTATAATTTATCCACCCAAAACTCAGACGCGACTTCACTTAAATTATAGGGACTCTACAATTTTGTATACCTATCTAACTTAATCCCCCTCCCCTACATGTCTACACAACACTACCAAAACCATTACTAACATATTTTTTAACACTTTTTAACTTTTTAACTTCAGTAATTCAAAATATTATTTATTTGTGTATAAACCACTAAATTACACTTGAAAAGTAAACAATTATCTTATGATTACAAAATAATATTTTACAAGTTACATCCAATATAAAAAAAGGTGGGCAAGTGGGTGTCACTCGGCTGCACAGTAGGTTTCATGGTGGTCATTGTCATGGATGGTGTTAAATTTTAACTCTCAACTCAAAATAATTTGCTAGTTTTTGTGATTTTTCTGTGTTTTGTCAAGATTTAAAAGATTTATTGCTTTTTATTAAATGCTTATAAAAAAAAAACTGTGACTAAGGATTTTTAATAATTTTCAAATGTCATTGTAACAATATAGTTGGAGCCTTGTATTATTTGTATTAAATTTTCAATATATTTTACCCAACAAATAAAGTTTTATTGATGTTCATAGAAAAATAACTAATTAAATTGGAAACTGAAAATGTCCATAAACAGTTAAAAACAAATCAAAATATTTTTAAGTTTTACATTGAATATTCATTAACCTCAAATTATTCTCTGTCCACCAAAAAGCATAGGTACAACTACACTTAAATTATAAAGATTCAAAAATTATGTATACCTATCTAACTAATCTCCTACACAAACACCTACTCAAAACTACCAAAACCATTAATAACATATTTTTGTAACACTACTTCAGTAATTCAAAATATTATTAAATACATTTTATTTGTATTTAAATCACTATATTACAGTTATCAATTATCTTATGATTACAATATAATATTTTACAAATTACAACAAATGTAACAAATACAAATAACAAACGTTTGATATTAGTTAATAAGACAATAATATATTATTTTAAATCTAATTTCCTCGTATTTTGCTGTAATTTTCTACCAATGATTCTGTTTTTATGTAAATTGCAACATCCATCTGAACATTTTTTTAATATACTAGTTAGTATATCTTTGCTTAAACATACTTGTTTACAAATTTATAATTTGTTGTATACTGTATACATGAAATTCTATATTCAAAGGTTGCAGACTTATTTAAATAATAACTGAAGTTTGAAATAACTAGTTCAACTTCAAAAAAACTTATTTTTAAAGGTTTTTTTTTTTTTAATAAAAAGTCAAATGAAAATGAAATTTCAATAAACTCAATGAAACAGCTAATTTCTCACATTATTTTTGGCGTTTTCTAATAGTGGCCATGAATTCTGAAAAAAAGCATGAGGTTTCTTGTGTTCTATCACATTTTGTCATAGAATGATACTCTGTCTGAATCTAATTGTTATTATATCAATTTATTTACTGAAATATTAATTGGTGTTTAATGTTCAAAATTGTTTATAATATAATATATATATATTTTTTTAGATAATCTTCTAAAATATGCAAAATTGGAACTTCAAAATGGAAATTTCATTAATACTCAAAAAATATGTGAAAAATTACTTTTACATAAACCGAAAGATTTAAATGTTTTATTGCTTAATGCCAAATCATTTTTCAACTGTGGAAATTATGATGAATGTATTAATTGTTTAGAAAAAGCAAAACAAATTAATCCCAAATGTTCCGAAGTTTTAAGTAACTTTGCATTAGTTTACATGAAAAAATCAGAAAACGATTTAGCAAAACCATACCTTTATGAAGTATGTGAATTAAAACCGTATTGTGTGGAAGCATGGGTAGATTTGGCTGTTTTTTCATTTGAAACAAATGACTTAATAGCAGCTGATTTGGCTTATGTACGTGTTTTAAGTATAAAACCTGAATTATATGAAGTACGTAATGATTACGGAAAACTACTATTAAAATTAAATAAAATCAAAGAGGCTAAAAAGCAATTTAAGATTGCTCACAGCTGTGCCACAGAATGTCCTGAAACTCTAAACAATTTAGCAGATGTTTATTATAAGAGGGGTAAATTTGAAAAAGCAATTTCTAAATATAAAAAAGTTATAGAAATAAATCCTGATCTAATGAATGTTCATTTTTATTTGGGAATGGCTCATCTAAAAATTACAGAGTACCAAAATGCAGCTAATGCATTTTGGAAAGCAGTACAATTAGAACCAGAAAATGTGACAGTTTTAAAAAATTTAGCTGTTACATACTGTTATCTAGAAAACATGGTATTGTGTGTTGAAATATACAAAAAGTGTTTGAAACTTCAACCTGAAAACTTTAAATTGAATTTAGAACTGGCCATGATATATTTACGCAACATAAAAAATTATCAAGAAGCTGCAGTATATTTTAAAAAATGTATCCAGTTAGGTCCGGAAAGCATAGACCTGTACAAAAATCTTTTTGTTGCATTCCGGAAAGTCAATGATTATCAAAATGCGTCTGATACTTGCATGTCAATGGGAGATTTGTACTTAGAAAGTGATGATCAAGAAAATGCAAGAAATGCATTCTGTTGTGCTGTACTTTTAAGCCCAGGGAATGCAGTTGGTCATTGGAAATTAGGCCTGACTATGTATAATTTGGGACATTCGAATTTGGCTCTTACAAGGTAATAATTAATCAACACAATTTAAAGTTTAAAATATGCTCTAAATAGATCCTACAAATATTCTCTAAATACACTTTAAATTGGTAACATTTGCAAAAAATGCTCTTTTCTTTTACTTCAATGAGTTTAAAAATGTATATAAGTTACAATAAGAAACATAATATTATGTATAATAGGTATATATGTTACTATAAATTTAATAAATTTGAAATATTTACATTTAGGTACCATTTAATAATATGCTTAAAATTTGAAAATATGTAGGTATTGTGTATCTTTTCATTAATAAATTATTTAAAATCAGTCACATTTAAAAAAATTTCCAATTTAATCACAAACATGTTATTGACAAACTTCTGTAATTTTTGTTTTTGAATTTAATAACATTTTTTTCTTGCAGCTCTTAATATTTAGTAATTTACAACTAGACTTTAATTTTGTATGAACAAGAATTTACAATATAAAAGCTCCAAATTATGCTTTAATTTGCAGAATACATTTTTTTTCTATAAATTCTGTAGTGGACTAGTAGTCCACATTTTTCACAACTATTGAACTGCATAAAGTCAACAACTAGGTACATAACACATTCGATTTTGGATATTTTTTTATTGTTTATTATAATTCAATTGTATGTGTTGATTATATTGTTTGTATCTGACTATATTTTAAAATGTAACACTTGTTTATTATCAAATACTAATAATAATAAAGAAATTAAGCCAATTTTAATAAAAGTCTAGAATATAATATCAATTAATCTCATTAATAATAATAAAAAAATATATGTATAATATCAATAGTTCATTAATAAATGATTATTAATAATTTTTAACTATTGTTATTTTTATTATTAATAATTATTTTGCATATTTGACACTATTAGTGTACATTTTATATACATTTGAATTTTGCATGCATGCGATTAATTTCGGCTATTTTATAAATGTTCAATATTAGTATTGATATATTACAAGTGTTCCTTTTTAGACTTCAATTTAAGATATTGTTATTTTCTTACCTTCTTTGTTATTAATTTCTGTTTCCTATAATATACACAAAGTACTTTCTACTTAATTTATACGTCGTAAAATGGATACATTCAGTATAAGTAGTAATTATTATATCATTGATTTTTCAACAGATACAAACATGCGATAGAAATAAAGCCGAATTTGGCAGATGCCTATTGTGATATGGCAGTAATTTTTGATGAACAAGGACTTATTGAAAAAGCCATACAATATTACAAAATGACAATCAGGTTAAAACCATCCAATTTAAACGCTCATTTGAATTTGGCCGATATTTTGTTCAAACATAAAATAAATCTTCTAGAGGCCATAACACATTATAAAATAGCTCTAGAATATGACAATACATCTGTTGATATTTATATACAAATGGGAAATATATATATTGAGTTAAATATGAGTGAAGATGCACTACATTCTTTTTACATGGCAATTCAGCATGATCCACAATGTTTAGAAGCTTACATTTCGATTGGTTCTATACTAAAAGACAGTGATAATTTCATTGAAGCAATTAGTGCTTACGAATCCGTATTAAAATTACAACCAGATCATCCAGACGTATATTGTCATTTAGTAAACTGTTTACAAAAAGTGTGTGATTGGTCAAACTATGATGCACATGTAAAAAAGTTACAAGAAATTGTTAATGAACAACTGAATGATGATGACGTGTTATCTTTATTACCTCACGATGCATTGATGTTTCCTCTATCGTTAGAAGTACAATCTAAAATTGCTTCTAAGTTTGCAGAACACTGTGTTCAAAAATTGAACAAATCAATAGAAGAACCTCCACAATTTGTTCATCCAACAGTTTTCAATGGAAATATAAAGTTTGGCTTTGTATCAACCAATTTTGGTAAACATCCAATAACGACCATTATGGAAACATTAACCAGTATATGCAAAAACCAACAAGTAGATGTCATTTGTTATTCTATATCTTCAAATGACAATATTCCATCATGGTAAATATTTTATTCAAATTATTTTTATAAATAAAAGTTAAAGTGTGTAACATATAGACCTCTTTTAATAAATTACTACATATATTATTTAATAATAAAAAAAATTGTTAAAAACAAGGATTTTATTATCATATTGTTTTCTGATTTCTTAGAAATTATTTTGTAATTTAACAAAACAATTTACTAAATTCTTTAAAAGCACATTGTTAACTAGAATTTTTGTCATGTATTTTACTCAACCATTTGATCAGTCACCCATTATTATTTGATTTTTATATAAATTATGTAATATCATTTTTTAATTTCAGGTTGAATAACTCTGAACACCATAAAGATTTGTCACAACTGAAATTTGTCGATGCTGCTAAAGTTATTAATAGTGACGGAATCCATGTATTGGTTGACATGAGTGGTTATACAAAAGGTGCCCAAACTGAAATATTTGCTTTGAGACCGGCCCCAGTTCAAGTTTCATGGTTTGGTTATCTTTGTACCAGTGGTGCAACGTTCATGGATTACTTCATTACAGATCGTATATGTTCTCCTCCAGAACTTCAAAATGTTTATACTGAACAATTGAATTTTACAAATCATACGGTTTTTATTGGCGACCACAAACATAAGTTTTCTAATTTACGACAACGCTTATGTTCTGATGAAGAACTGGAAAGATCAACTTTCAACTTGCCAGAAAATGTTGTCGTTTTCTGTAATTTTAGTAAACTGTATAAAATAGACCCATTTACTTTACGTACGTGGATAACTATTTTGAATAATGTTCCTAAGTCTGTACTATGGCTTCTACATTTGAACGATGTTGCTGAAAATAACTTAAGAACGTTTGCTGATGTTTTAAACTTTGATACATCACGCATCATTTTTGCCGATTTTATTCCTAAATATCAACACCTGAATCGAATCCAGTTGGCCGATATATATTTGGATACACATTTATACAATGGACACACAGCGTGTTTGGATGCATTATGGGCAGGAGTTCCAGTAATAACATTACCGGGAGATACTTATGCATCTCGTGTAACAACCTCACAATTGACTTCTTTAGGAATTACTGATACTATTGCTCAAAATGAAGAAAACTATATTGATATTGCAATAGAATTGGGGTTGAACAAATGCTCCTTGGAAAAAATGAGAAAAAATATTTGGGATTTAAAAATAGAAAGCCATCTGTTTAACATAAATTGTTATGTAACAGAAGTTATTTTAATCTTGAAGCATATCTCCCTGACAAAACCTGAATTAGGCGTGTAGAAATGTATGTATTTTATGAAAAATGATTAAATTTTATTAAAAATGCAGTTAAAAAAGTAATTTTTTTTTTCATACTAATGCTTTTAGTTTTTAAACATTTATTATTTTTATTTATTTAGTTTTAATGTTTCATTGTTTCACATGTTATTACTCATAAAGTGTATCATTCAATTTTTGTTATTTTTAAATTGCATACATACTTTGTATAGTTCTATTTTTTTTTCAGACTATTGAGAATAATTAATTAATTAAAATGTTGAAAATAAATAACGTACAAATAATTCAACTTTGTGTTGTAACAATTAATCCATAAATTAAATAGTATTCTAAAATATATAGGTACTCATGCTGTTGCTTATTGCATATACCCAGTGGTGTATTGGTAAATAAATTTATGGGTATACGCACCTAAAAGTAGTTGAATATAGTATATACCTATAATACGATATACCTACCTTAAAAATTTTCTCGCTCCGCTCAAAAAATGATTACACTTTGTATTTAATAATCTTTTATAACTTTATTACAAACACTTACTCTTCATGTGTATATGTATATGCAGTGGCGTATATACCCCCCTATATACGCCCCCCAGTTCGCCCTATATTCACCCACAACCATAAAATTAATTCATATATACTCCACTGTGTGTAATATGTACCAAGTATCAATGTATTATTTTTTTTTTAATTAATTCAATTTCATGGTATAAGTCTAGTTTACCGGGCACCTTTTTTTTTTGAAATTTTTTTTTTAAAAGGGTTGCCAAACGGTCGCCAAACTCGAGGTCCTCCGCGCGGCATTATAGTAGTGTTGCGCGCACGCGTATAAACGTAAAATCGTTAACTTTGGGAAGCTATAACTTCCAAAATAATCATTCCGCAATTTTATTTTTGCACCATCGTTCTTAACTGGTCAAAACAACCCTTTTCAAAAAAAAAAATTTCAAAAAAAATATGTGCCCGGTAAACTAGACTTGTTCCCAATTCATATATGATATATATCATAAATTCATAAATAATACAACTTTTTATTATCAAATTTTAAAACAATTGTACAGTAAAATACTTATATAGTAGAAGTAGCGGTACGTTTATTATCCATTATCGATCATATAATATTATAATATATTTATATACAAATATTTATATATATTTTATTTGTATAAAATATTTTACAAATTTAAAAGAATTTCAAAATTAATAGAATTAATATAATGAGAAACTAATAGTTCGGTTTTATAATTTGGTTATTGGATGACAACAGACAAGTAATAACACAATACATCAACAATAATTATTTTATTATTATTCTAATTTGTCATTATCATTTAGTTTGAAATGAAATTACGTATGTTTATTCACAGTTTGGGAACCGCTGTACATTGATTGTTCATTGATTGATTGTATTGCTCGGTAGTTTCCGATCGTCTTCGCAAGAAAACGTCGGGTAAAATTTAATCGAACTTCATGCGGGTACGGGGCTATTTTTAGTATTTTTGGACAGTGCACTTTATGTTATAATAAAATATTATAACTAAATATAATTTAGGTTATTATTATTATTATTTTTAAGTTTTTACTTTTGTTTGGTGATAATATGCCTAAATTGTCTGATGATAAATTAGAAGCGTGCGTATACCCATAAAAGACTAATTTTCTTAAAGGTATACGCATAAATCCAAAAATAGGGATCCGGGTATACGACGTATACCCGCGTATACCCTCCAATACACCACTGCATATACCTTGTTTCATATTATAAATTATGGAAAAACATAAAAAAGTGAAAAAAATGGTAATTTAAAAAAAAATCCATTTTATTTTTTTGGTGTAACTCAAAAAAATAATTGCATTAGGCACTTGAATTTTTACTAAATATTTATTTTATCATTTGTTCCACGTATGGTAACATTTTTGAATACTTTTTTTTTTTATTTTATTAAAAGAATAATTACAATCTATACAAACATATTATGTACAATAGGTAATTTTTTTGATTGACAATAGAGTCGAATTACCGAGAGGGAAGGTACTCAGTAGTACCACCCGACGGATCAAGCAAGGAAATCTCTAGGCTAAGATCGTTTCAGTCTTCTTCTAGGATTATCGGGAATTGTACATGAAGACAGACGTTTAATTAATGGATTAGTATGGTGATTAAGCTTAGAATGGAATGAGAGGAAGTGGGATTTGGTTAGCTGAGAAAGTGTGGGAACGTTTAAGTCTTTGTGAAGATTGGCGTTTTTTATATACCAAGGGGCAGAAACGATTTGACGGAGACATATTGATTGGAAGGCTTGTATAGTTCGTAGGTTTGAGGGTTTTGCGGAGCCCCATATCTGCCATCTGGATACCGTATGCCCATACAGGTCTTAAAATAGCTTTGTAGATTAACAATTTATTGCTGATGTTTATTTTTGAATACTTAAGTCTTAAACTGTGCTAGTTTTAAAATTTAAAATTATTCTCGAAAAAATAAAATATATTTTCAATTTATAAAAAAGCACGAACAAATGTTCATAAATAATGCTAGGTCCCTTATAAATTTCATAAATATTAAAGATTCATATGCTCAATTTGTTATATACATGCATTTTATGTTCAGTTTTAAACAAAATACGTCAACATTTCAAAAATGTTTTCAGTTAAAAATTCATCAACATTTTTTCTTTCATAGCTAAAATTAGACATTTTGATAGAAGACTCCTCACAAATGTTCCTACCTTAAACGAAAAAAAAAAGTGATCCAGAAAATAATATTATTTATTTATAAGCTTTTGAATTTAAAACGATATAATACGATATTGAATTTTAATCAAAAATTCATCTATCAACATTTTTATATTTTGTTGTAATTCAAAATTGAATAATCCTATATACTTACTTGAAATTTTAACCAAATGTTAAAATTACCATTTTCCTACTGGAGGTTACTTATTTTAAACACTTATTTTTAAATGTTGTAAATTATTTTTCAGTTTGAAATTCATAAAAGTTTTCATTCTCATAGCTATAGCCTATAACATACATTTTAAATCGAAGGTTCCAAACCTTGTGATATTTTCGAATTTGATTATTTATGCAAGTATTGAAGTAAGCTAGGCTGACACAACGCCTCTGCTCAGATTCGTTTTTCATAATATTATATAATGATTGTCTTTGGATTCAAATATAACACATCCATTATATCGACTATCGACATGCTTGACAACTACTAGCAGTGTTAAGTACCCACTTGTCCACCTTTTTTTAATTATGTAGGTATCGCAAGCTTATAGTTATTGCATATTTAAAAATTTACCAGTGCTTACTTATAGTTTTTCTGCCACAGGATAAAGAAAATTTTCGGTAATACCTATAATACCTAAATAAGTATATCATTATTATAATATGTAATATTATAATTAATACTTAATAGTTATTAATTATAATTAAAGACCGGATTTAATTGCATTGAAAACATACAAAAATTGCATATTAAAATTGTATAATTGCACCAAAAAATACGTAATAATTGCATAATAAATTAAACTATAAAAATTCAAGTTATATAAAAAAATTAGATAAATGTTACTTTTTTGAATTAAAATTGATAATAAGATACATTTCCAAATTATGTTTATTAAAATTAAATCTTCTATTACATAAAATATGTTTGTACAAAGAAAAATTACGTTCTACGTCTACACTATTTATTGGTGCATATTTAAAACAATTCAATAAGATAGTCGTTATATCTAAATTAATATCTTTTTTACCTGACATGACTTCATAATATAAAGATTTAATAGTTATATACCCTTCATTTTTTTCAACTACATACATAAATTTGTCTTTAATTTTTTTTTTCCATCTGGGCCAGGAATATTTTATATTTGTTAAAATATCTTCAATTTATCTAAACATACTCATACTTTCAATAGATAGTTTTAGATACATGAAAAATATTCAAAGAAACATTTGCTGATTAATGAAAAGTAAAAAAGGTGGATTCCTATTTGAAATACAGAAGTTTGTATACTCACAGCATCATCCTTAAATGGTACAAAAAATCTCAAGTAGGTACCTATTCAAAATAAGTGTATTTAAAAATTCCAAAAATCAGAATTTGAATATAATATACATAAGTAAAGGATAAAAATAGTGTGAGCATGCTTAAAAAATCTACCTGTATAATATTAAAGCGTAGCCTGACCTGGGGAATAATATGTTTAATAATAAACTATGAAACTATTGAAAAATCTTAAGGTACAAAATAATAAATAATTATGTTATTAATTAGTAATTACACAGAATACAGAAATGAAATTACGAAAAACAAAATTATATTTCTATTATAGAATTTTAAGTTTGAAGACAAATGCATAAGTTGTAAGTATAATATTATTCAAGTAGGTAATCTTTCAAAAATATGCAATATTTAGTGTTGTTATGTTAAAAACCGTGTAAAACTACGTGAATATTGTGTTTTTTTTTTTGGTTTATTATTAACATTGAATAAGTAAACAGTTAACTGTTAAGTATTAATTAGGTAAATAGTTAACTGTTAAGACAAGTATTAATTAGGTAAGTAAATAGTTAACTGTTAAGTATTAATTAAGTAAATAATTTACTTAATCAATGTTATTAATAATAAATAGTAATTTATATAGTGAATATCCTTCAGAAAAAAAGTTAAAGTACCTACCTATTAAATAATTATATTTATTCCTTTATTTTAATTTTTTTTTTAAAGTTTATTGAATAAATTACCAAAAATGTATAATTACGCTCATTGGCGTACCAAGGATTTTAGAAATGTGGGTCTGTCTTACTTACTAGAGGCCACTGTGTAGAAACATCAACCAACTAGGTACCTATTATATTATAATTTATAGCCGCCCAATGAGCTTGTGATTTACCTTATTAGTTATTTACATCACATTTTGATATCAACATTCAATATAACTATAATAACAATTATTTAAGTAAAATGTTAAAAATTACCTACAAGCTTAA